TTTATCTTGTGTTAATTGACGGAAGCACAAAACTTTTAGATGAATTTAAGTCTTTTTGTCAATACGATGATTTCATATTAAACCATCTCTTTATTAATATCTCTTCATGTTTTTGAAGGATTTGTTTAGTTTGATTACAAAAACATGCGATTATTCACCGGGCCACTGCTGAGTAAGCGATGATCGGGCAGAAATCAGTGCATTGTATAAATTGCTGGAAGGCAAAACACCTTGTAGTCAGATCTTCCCACATTCTGTCTGCTGCTAATTAAATTTGATGTATAACTGATACAGTAATCTAATGTATTATTCTTTTCTGATGAATGATGGTTATCATTTACAGACAAGTGCACAATAAATGTCAAATGTACTGTATGACTGTATTCATATCTTATCAACCACTCAATGCGCTTGACAGTAAAAAACACATTCTCCATTAGTGTCAGCAACAAGGTCATGGAGTTAGATGGTTAGTTTTTACTACTTTACACTATGAAACTAAAAGGATGCTCGGAGAGGACATACTGGGAACAAGGCTAATGTCTCATCTTGCCATGATAAAGAAATCTGGATCCGCCTGTTTATCCAGATCTACTCTAAACTTTTGCAGCTTCTCCCTCTGTCATACCCCACCCCTCCATAAACTTGTATAGAAATTGGTTCTGTAGTTTTTTACTTATCCTGCTAACACAAAGACACACAAACAGTAGAGCGCATATATACCTCCACCAATATCCAACAGTCCCCTAAAATTAATAAAATTATTATACACTCACCAGTTCCCTAAATATTTCTGATTTTTTTCATCAAAATCTTTGTATTATTTATTCAAAAAATTCAGATTCAGATCTTGATCTGCGTCAAAATTTAATAGCTTCCGACCCAAACCGCATCCTTCCACCAAGTTTTGGGGCAATCCATCAAGAGGTTTTGCATAATCCTGCTAACAAACAAATGCAGATGAAAACGTTACCTCCTTGACGAAGGTAATTTGAATTTCTTGCAGAAGTGTAATGGGTACACTGGTTTAAAATAAGTGCAAATATAAATCACAAAAAAATAGATTCCACTAATATTGAGCCCTTTAATTTCACTCCTAAATCACCATGCATGCATCTGATCCATAAGAGTTAGTGATTGTTTTGTGTATTTGAGGAATGGCGAGTGATTTGAGGTTGCACAGAAGAAACAATGTGGATGAAGAAATACCAGTTAGGGGAAGAACATAAGAATATTTTAGAGGCATTGAGAGTACCACTGAGAGGCCATCAATAACTGCGAGGGAGCAGCAGGTTTCCATAGCTGAGCAGGGAGACACTGCAAACAACAACTGTGGTCCGGATACATTATAACAAAGCGAAAAACCCCATTTTACAGAACATCACACGATAGCTTTACTTCACAGTCTCACACACAAAAGCAGTCGTTGCCCTAGTTCTGTCTGCAGATGTCAAAGGAGGTCACAAAATCAAAAGAGAACAAAAATAACAACAACAATAAGAAACCTTGTCCTCAAGTTTTACCAACCTTATTTCAACATGTCTGGGTAGACAAAAAATTTGAAACGCCCCAAGACAGAACAGGCACACCATGGGCTAGAGCCTCCGAAATGACTCTGAAGGTAAAACGACAGGTTATTACAAGAATATTTGAGGGTTTGAGTTAAGTGTTACACCAAATGCTATTGAGCAAATGTATGGTTTCTATGGCTACACCCAAGACTTAAACTCACAAGCCTCTTGCCGAATTATCCCAGCAGGACAATAACCTAAATATGTTAAACTGTATCCTGGATCAAGAGTAAAGTGAAGCTCTGGTCTATCACCGCCACCATTATACAAAGTGTATGGTTTTAGGACTGGCCATGTAAGAGCATGTTTGCTGTCAACGCCAACATGTTGCAGGTCACAACACTGAAATGCTACAAAATAAAGTTGTAGCTTGGATTTCACTACCGTAGTTTGTCCTTATGGGGAAAAGGCATGGTTTTATAGCTACATGTGCTATATGGATTATATGATGTGTAATATTCAACAGAGACACATATTCAGATCAAAACTGCAAGAAAGAATTAATGATAATGATGTGTGATCTGTCTGAGTGCAGCAAATGTATCAAATATTATGAATCTCTTTATGGATTTGACCTGGATTTATCTGGATTTACATCCTTTCATTGGGGATTTTTTTCAAAGCTACATTCATATTGAATCATTCAACCCATTAAATCCTTATATATGTGCATCTTTACACACAAGACCAAAGCAGAGCAGGTGTGTGAGTTTGTTAGTGATGCTAATGTTGAGTTAAGTTGAACTTTCTCTAAACTTAGTCCGGCCTATACATAGTGTGAAACCAACAAAAGAGACATTTTAAGGAGAATAAAAATGTAGTCTTACCTGTTTACATGTCAATACGCAGACAGATGTGTCAGTGGCAAATGGAATGCATGTGTGTGTGAGTGTGGTCTGCTGGAAGGTACACGTGTGTGAGAAAGGGGGAGGAGAGACAGTAAAAGCGAACAAGAGAGAGATGTAGTTTCGCTGAAGGTGATCAGCCACCGTCACTCTTTCAGTTGATCTTTCAGCCTTTCATCCACCTTGTCATAACAAAACTATGTGTGTGTGTGTGTGTGTGAGTGTGAGTGTGAGCGTGTGTGTGTGTGTGTGTGTGTGTCAGGCTGTGTCATAGTGATGCTGGAAACATGAGAAAAACACCCGAGTGTGTGACTTCAACCTCTCACACATACATGTAGATACACATACTTTCAGTTTGAGTGGGTTTTTTTTTTTTCGTAACCTTCTCGTCCCTCATTTTGTCTTATGGTCTGTATGATTTAAAGACACACACACACACACACACACACACAGGACCACTCAGAAAAAACACATGCATGTTGCACATGCTGTCAATCAGGGTGTCATATTGACAATTCGTAAAGTTTGTCCAGTGGCTGAACTTCTGCAGACAATTGAGGTCTAGTGTTAAAGGGATCGTTCATCGAAAAATGAAAATTCACTCATTATCTACTCACCACTATGCTGATGGAGGGGTGGGTGAAGTGTTTCAGTCCAATAAACTCTTTCGGAGTTTCAGGGGTGAACAGTGTTGCAGCCAAATCCAATACAATTGAAGTAACCGGTGATCAATTCTGCAAACAGAAAAAACATAACATGACTTGATACGGCTCCTGTGGTCTCATCCAAGCTTCTGTTAGTCCGGACAAACTCGTCTCGACACGGCGTCATCCACACCATGTTTTTAGTGTAAATGTCCGCGTTCACGTTTGCACACTCACCGAAACACACACACTTAAAACACGTAAAGTGTTTCTGTGCACATTTGCACTTCTGTCTCTGTCTTTTCATTCTTACAAAAATGGAATCTTCCTACATAACGCAAAGTAAAGAACATAAACAAACTGTTTATCATTTTATCTCTTTCTTGCTGAGAGTTAGATTCATTCACGTGCCTGGATGCTAAATATGAGGCTACAGGTAGCATCCGGTTAGCTTAGCACAAAGACTGGAGGCATAAGCTAGCAAGCTAATCTTTAAAAAATCCACCTACTCCTTCTTTAAAAGCTCATTGATAAACACATTTGAGATATAGGAACTTATCCAAGAAATAAATTGGTGCTTAACCTCCCATTAAAACCATACATTATTCAATATGACCTTTTCTGCTTTTGAGGCAGGCTAGCTGTTTTTCTAATCTTCATGCTAAGCTAAGGAGATCAGTTTATGTGCTAAAAACTCAATCTACGCTCCACAAAAGGTTTCCTAAATGTTTCCGTATTCTTTAAAGCTTTACGTTCTGTCCGTCCCCTGACAGAGGAATAGTTTTATTGAATTTAAAGCGTAACTTACCTTGTGTATGAGCTCCAGCGTTGAGTTAGCAAGAGAGCTGGAGGAAAAGAAAAAAGCTGAAGTTAGGAATTCTTTATGCATATCCTGATGGCCTCTGTTTCTAGTGAGCTTTTATAGGTGGGAGGTCTTTCATTTCACCCTTGGACGCCTTTTTACTATATATATTTACATTTAATTTAATACCTGGCCAGGTATTCAAGCATCGTCAAACAGTGCACACAGAGAAAAGAGTTCAGGATTAGAATCTAGCATGTATATAATCAAACAGCTGCTACTGTTCACGCAGTATACAATACTGTTCAATCTAACAAATCTAACAGAAAACCAAAGTGTCATACATGAAGTCAGGAAGCCAACCTCTACCCAGAAGCCACTCGAGTTGTGCTTTTCCCTGGGAAATAAAAAAAAAAGGGCTCCATGTTTTTCAAACCTCCTTAAACTTTTAAAGGTGGAGGGTTCCAGCTTTTGGCGATAGTAGAGAAACATGTCGATGTGGCCTCCTGAACAGATTTATGTGTTTATATCGATTTGTTGTTATCCAGGCAGTGATAGGTAATCATCCTGACATTAAGGATCTTCATGGTTTTAATTGTGACCATACATTGAGATGGAGATACTAGATGTCCTGGAATCTCTGTCCCGAGCCTGATCTGTCGTCGTGTCGCCGGTGGTTCTGTGCATTGTTTTTGTTGTAATATAAGATTGAAAAATATATAATGTGACTTGTCATTTAGCCAGTGCTGTACTAAATGTGGGTCTGTTTTTATTAGTAAATTTCCTTTGCTTTCATAAGAGCATTAATGAATAGGAAAAGGAGGTGCACAGCAGCTCATTGTTTCTCCATGGCCCCCTGACATGATTAATTAAGCCTGATTTATTCATTGATGAGGCTGTTTAGTCCAACAATCCAAGAGTCATTGATACAAGTCAAAGGAGAGAGTCAACTATGCTTGAAATGCCATTGAGCAAAGCACAGATCCTCAAACTATGCAGAAGTGTTGCATATCAGCCAAAAGCTCAATGGAGCTGTGATACCTGGACTCAGGTTTAACCAACAGTCACAGAGAATTACAAATGCATTTGGTAAAAAAGTGAATTATAACCACTGCAATAGGATGCAGCTTTGTATACATGCATTTTCATAGGTCTATATAAAAAGCAGACGCTGTATAGAATGATTAAGATGGTGTCTGTATATTGACTGAAGTGACTTTCTTTCGGGTTGATTTTGGAGGAGTCAGTTTCTTGTTCTCACCCAGATTTCATCTTTTCATTGCAGAGCACTTTACATTATAAAGTGAGACGCTGCAGTGGATTAGTTCAGAGTCAAACATCACTGTATCTCTCTCCTGCTCCATGAAAGCCGACAAAAGGTCATGTAACCTTGTGATGTAAAAGGTGTCACACTCAGATTGAGAGTCAGTCATGAGTGTGCATGGTGGTGAGAGAGAGGGTGGTTGGGTTTCACAGTGGCGTGGGGAGGTAGAGAGGCGCAAAGACAGGTTCTTATTCCGGGTATCATTCACTTCAAACCTCCCCTGTGATACCACAGCAAAACAGCGGCACTGTATTATCTCCAGAGCCTGAAACTCTGCTGAAAATCAACCCAAGCTTCTGGTATTAAAGGCATCGTCTTACATTTTTAAATAGAGGATGGTTTCAAATCTATGTTGTGACTGAGAAATGGCTGTTTTATGACATTACATTATGCACAAAGTAATATTGACAAAGGTTAATATTGTATTTTAATAAATAATAGATACAGTGGAAGTAGGGCATGACATGAAAATGGCTTGAAAAGAAAATGTTTTGCCATGGCAAGGCAACTGAAGGATTTTAATGTGTTTAAGTTCGACTAGCCGTGTGCTGTGTAGTTTGCTGATTTACTGTATGACTTAAAGTTAAAAAACAAAAAGAACTTAAACATCCAAATTTGCAAGTGCCACATTTTTCAAAATCACAATAAGCACTAAGAGATGGAAATCATAGCCTTGTAGTATATAACATTATGTGTCCATCATGGATGCTGTAAAACAATTAACTCATGCAACCACAATTTATAATGATTACATAAAACAAAATTGCTTAATGTATACTGATTGAATAGAAAAATCTTGATTTCTGATTTGCTGCACTGTTAACTGACTGAGGAACAGTCTAAATTTAAGTCTTAAATTTACCAACAGTGGACGAATACAATACAAGCAATACAGCAACAGTATAAAACCTCTTTTTAAGCATAAAAGTATAAACAGGCAGTGAAATTACATTAATTACTGAATTGTACTTCAATGTTTAGTTTAATGCTACTACATACTTATACTCTGACAGCTTTAATGACCATCTACTTATCAAATTAAGATTTTATATATAAAGCATATGATGAGCTTATGAAATCTTTTCAACTCCTCAACGGCATATTATCATTCGAAATAAGCTCCACCTCTCTGGGGTCAATGCATCAGCAATAAAAATACGTCGTAGTAATATAATATAGGATTTCATAGACCCGAAGAGTACTTTTACTTTTTAGTACTTATTAAGAGTACAGTTAAATGTGAATTTTGCAAATAAAACTAAAATAGAGCATACTTACACCACATTTTCAGTGCATAATTTTAATTTAAGTAAAGGATTTGAATGTTTCCTTTATAACTGGCTAGCAGTAAAATAAACATAAATACAGATATACATAAGTACCACTTCATTATTTCTTTGTATTATTATTACGGATGTATCATTGTGTAAACCAAAATATACTAAATAACTGGTTGAGACTGAGCTAATTTTACAAAGTTAACATATTGTTGCATTCGATTAGATTCAATTAAATAAAATGTATTAAAGAAAGTGTCATATTTCACATACAGATATTATATATTGTTTCTAGAATTATAATTTACACAGTAACTAGTAACTACAGCTGTCCGAAAATAAGCATGTATACAGAAATGCAGTGGAGTGTTTCAGACGTAACAGAACAATGGAGAAATTCAAGGAAAGTACAACTGCATTAAAATAGTTGATTCAAAGAAGTATTTGAGTAAATGTACTCAGTTATTCCCCATTGATGAATAAAACAAGTCACCTAAATGACTCAGGAAGAATTCTGGATGGGTTCCAGTTTGCACAGAGTTGAATAAATATTTATGTCGTCGTTTTTCTATAGTAACAAGTAAAATTATAAAATGGAGTCTTGCAAAGAATGCCAGAAGCTTAATCATTTACAGTAAGTGCTGGTCGTCCAGTATAAAAACCTTAATCAATCCAGTTTATCATTAAATATGCTGTGAATGCACAGGTGTCTTCATCCCTCATCTAAACATCCCATCGTCTTATCAAAAATATCTGTTAAAAGAAATGGGATGTTTCCCAAACATAAGTACACAATATCTTGGTCTTTAGACTTACAGTATATACATGCAGTACTTGCATTGTTATCTACCTCATGTCATGTTAACTTCTCTGAAAGTATATATCAAATCACAACCTGTTGGAAATACTGTAGTTTCATCACTGTATGACCCACATAGTGAAAACCCGAGTATCTGAACAAGGTACATTTTATAATGTAAAACCCAACTCAAGATAGTGATTAAAATATAGACATGCTTCCTCTGTTGACATCTGTGACACACTTTCACACTCACACACACCTGTACGTACTGAAAATAGTGAATATCTTATCTGATACTTTCCGACATTAAGAACACGCTTAAACAAAGTGTGACAAAAACATGAGCACAGGAGTCGGTACAGAACGGTTTATTCATTTCCAATTGAGTTCACTTGACAGACTTGAAGAATCTGCAACAGTTTTGCTTTCTTGCAACCTTTCAAATACTATAAACGCAGGCACCGCACTTGTTCAAATTTCTAACTTGTTTTTTCCTTAGTGCCTTCCCAGTTAATAAAAACAAAACTTTACGATAGTAAAACTGTCATAAAAACTTAATTTTTTAAAATGAATAAGTAAAAATAACAAAACAAACTGTTTAAATGCCCAAAGAACAAAAATGGAATGTATTTCACCCATCTGCACAATGTACAGATAGTCAACAATTAAAGATCAAAAATGAACAAAATGCTCAATAGATGATGGTTGCATCTTTTCTTAGAACTAAAAACAAGAAAATAAACCAAAAAAGGACAAAACTTTGTAAAAAAAACAAAACCGAGCAAATAAATCCAAGAGTTTTTACTGACCAATATTCTGCATTTCTATGGCAGTTTTTCTTTGACCAAAATTTAACTTAGTTCTAAATAAAATACTTTTGAATATGCCAATGTATTCCTTACGACTAGGGCCGTCTTATCTTTCTTTTAATCACACTAATCTGTGCGCAGCCTTCCTGTAGTTTAGCGCCATCTCTAGCCTGAGTAGAAGAACTGCAGCAGGACAGCTTCTCCTGGTCCTAGAGTGATATTGTCAAGGCTGACTGTGGATTCTTCTGCAAGGTCTGCTGATGTTGAGGAGCTGCTTATCACCGTGGCCGTCTCTGGCAGCTCTACTCCCTCTGCAGGAACAAAGATCATGGTGTCAAAAAATAGATGAATAAAATAAACTGGGCCAAAGTACATACTGCTGGATATGACACATCGTATTTGAACGAGAGCTCTGTTGAATTTAAACTTGCCTGTAGGTGTCAGCGAGAGCTTTAGTGTCTCTGGTGCCTCTCCCCAGTTGACAGCCGTTATGTATCTCTCGCTCTGGTCCCACAGACGAAGGAAAGCGAGTGAGGTGGCAGAGGAGTAGAGAGGATAGTAGTGGCCGTGGAGGAGAGAGCGCTTTTTGCCCCGCAGGTCGCTGAGGGATTTGAACCACTCCCTTATAGCAACTTGTTCCTTCCTCTCAGCCTATAAATGTGAGAAACGAGGATATTGGTAAAAAACACTGAAAGCAGAGTTACGTTTTTGACCACAGTTTCACTATTTAGCTCCAGGACTGAAATTCACTTACCTCAGCTGCCTCATCAACTACTGCTCCTTCTGCAGGTTCTTTCTCGCTGTCCCAAACCATCTGAGAAAAATTTTAAAGAAAAGGGGAAGGGGTTACATTCAGTACCAGCTGAAAGGCTGCTCAAAGATTTCGACTGTTTTATTAATTACCTCTACTGCTTTAAGGCCAATCTCGTCTCCATATGTAAACACAGGGGTTCCAGGCATGGTGAACAACAGAAGCTGGTAGAGACGGATCAGGGACGGAGTTTTTGCCAGTGTGGACAGCTGGTCCCTCTGGGCAGCACCCAGACCCCAGGCCAGACTTCTCTGGTCGGAATTAAGGGTATTCATGGCCTTGATGCGCTCCACACCTGTAGATATTCAGGTAAAATAATCACCTATATTGTATCGCTTGTGGTGGTTTCATTTATAAATTGATAAATGTACTCTGTAGAAACTGCTGTGAACACAACTCATAACCAACCTCCAGTGTTGCTGCTGAGCAGGTCGGACAGGACGAGATTCACACCGGAGGTATTGACAAGCTGGGACAACTCTGGAGCAGAAAAGCCTTTGACTACACCCATCAAGGCCCTGAGGGAAAGACAGTAAAGTCAGACTAATGACAGTATTCCTGCAACCAAATTCAGTCAGCTCAAAAATAACAAAATAACTTGTTTTACGAGAAAAAAAGACAGTGTACAAATGTAATATTAAATTCAATTGTGTAATATCTCAAATACACCACTGGGTGTCGCTATGTCATGAGTGTAAAGTGCCATGGGAACTACAGACTCCTTTTTGTTGCCCCAGCTCTTCCTGATCTCCCCCCCCAGCATTGGAATGCCTTTAATCTCCACGTTCTCCCCTCTGAACAAACAAAACTGTCAGCTGACATTCTCCTCATGCTTTGAAAAATACTTTCCTCCCAAAATAAAAACAGGCTTAAAAAATAGGTTTTAATCTTTTGTCAAATTGAGCTCCTTGAATCTTGGAATCAGTGTTAAAAGTATATTTTCCTGCGTCTGTATGAAAGTAGCAGACACCATTAGCTGTTAAAGTGGCGTGCATAGTTACCTCTTCTTGGTGTCCTCGGTATGGTTGCCCAGGACAACAGCTTGCAGGTTTGACCATTCAAGAGAGCTGGTGGCAACTTCCAAGTCCGATACCTTTATGCCAGCGACACCCAAATCCAGCCAATATTCTGCCGCAGCCTGGAAGAGAACATGATCACTTTAGCTATACGAGAAGTAAGAACAGCTAAATGACATGAATCGAGTGAATGAAGGACCACAGACCGATGTATGTGTGTGTTTGCGTGTGAGTCCTACCTTAAGTTTCTCCATCACATCACTAACATCTGCAGGGCTAAACCAGGAAGCTGCTCCTGAGTAGTTTGGAGTCAGGTCAAGCACCACAGAAATGCCTATGAAAAAACAGAACACTTAGAACCACAAAACTAGAAAACAAAAAAGGGACTCTGTTAACTGATCTCAATTCTATGATGGCCTACCCTTCTTGTTGGCCTTTTCCAGCACAGCAACCAGTTCTTTCTCTGTTCCCTGGTCTGGATGAACTGCTTTAAAATCCAGGGTGTTTGGCTGGTCGGCCTGGACGGAGTGAAGAGGGCCCAGAACAAGGCCTTTCACCTTCAGCTGGTTCATAGCATCCAACTTGGTCTCTACACCTACAAAGAGGGACAGAGAGAGGGAGAACTGTAGTTTCACAATGGACAACAGAACGCTGATGTGTGAAATGTAGCAGTGTCAGGAGGTTAGGAAACGGGGGCAGGAGGCTAGAAGTCAAGAGACACAAGAAAGGAGGTAAGATAAGGGTACTTATAGTTAGTATTGACTCAAGACACAAGCATGTGAATGGCTCCATCCACACCCTCTACTGGCCACGTGAAGTCTGAGTACAAGGCGGTCCTTCATGTGAAAATACCAGAGTCACGTGGGGTTTTAGGAATTCTGCCCTAGGCTTGTTGGAAACCTGAGTGCTCACATGTAATTCACTTGCAGAACAGCAGTTCATTCTGTCTTTCCTTCCTGCCTTTAAAAAAAACTTGGTGAAAATCAAAATTGGAACAAGAAGTCTTGTTACTGTTTCTAGCTTTTTAAGTGACATTTAATGAAAAATCAGAGAGAGATCTTTTGAGATCTAAAATGAAGTATATAAAAGTATATAAAGTATCTTCATATAAATCTGCGCACCACAAAAAAAGTTCGGCGTTGCTCACATATGACCTCAAGTCTGAGGAGAAGATATAAAAGAAATAACTTGGCTTTTTTTTTTTTTTTAAACCGTCCTTTAGACCTTGAGTCACACAGAATCAGCCTATTCAGCATTTTGGTATCTGGCTGACTCAAGTAGGCCACATAGAACTCAGGAAACCAAAGACATTGTCACGAGACTTATCCCATGTTACCGCATGAAGACCAGAGGACTTTGTAAATAATCTCCAAATCTTATTTTGGGAATAAGGATGACACCATGAGCAAAACAGCAGCAAGAAGAGGCAATGACCTTATCATGAAAGAAGCCATAAGAAGAAAACACTGTATATTTACCCTGAAATAAATCTGAAATCTTAAAATACTCTACCTTCCATTCCATTAGCGAAAGCTACGACGTCAGGGATCTGGTACAGGGGTCCTTCGTTCCACCAGTTCATCTCAGGGATGGGTTTGCAGCGAGGGGCCTGGACGATGATCGCGACCGCTCCGGCCAACATGCCTATCCAGCCCAGCCAAAACAGGATGAGAAGCACCCAGCGGGTTCGCACCCATCTACAGAGAAGTATGAGAATGTGGGGGAAAATGTTAAGATGATAACATAATTAAAGACTAGAGCTTAGAACATATTTATTGCATCTGGTGCTCGTACCCTGGAGTGCCAGCAACTTTCATCAGCTCCTCTTTGGACAGGCCGGTGAATGTCACCTCTTCATCGGGGACCTTCAGCTTGACGCTGCCATTTTTCTCCCCGGCCGGTGCCTGGCCATCACCAGTCATTGGCTGCTTCTCAGGATCCAGCTCATTGAGCTCCACTTCTTTCATGTCGATCTCTGTGTCTTTACTCATGGTTGAGTCTGGTTCTTAAAAAGGGAAATAACAGATCGTCAAGTTGACAACAAGATCACTTCCAGTGAGAACATATGAGCATATGAACAAGAAATAGTCTTGTTTCACTGAAAGTACCCAAACATACAACAGAGAGGAAATACTGGAAATGAGACTCTTTGTTCAGATCTTCAGTTTGTTGTTGTTGCTCATTGTTCAGACATGAAAGCTAATCCCACAGGGGTTGTGGCTGACTGACAGGCTAACCTCTTCCAAGCTAGCAAGAACAGGCTGTTCGCTAACGTTAGCCAACAGCCTGAATCTTTAAACTAGCTCAGCCTTTATGAACTAAGAACTGAGTTCAGGGGTAAAAATAAAACTGAACCTACAAGAAAAGAAACATTAACAATTTGTACTTGTAGCTGTTGTAAACTATTTCATTAATAATGGTTATAATAGCCAATTTTAGAGAAGAAAACAATGGGACCTTCAAAATAAGTTTAAATAATAATAATAAGATAAACGATAATTACCCTATTCACCCCTGGCATGAAAAGCTATCTGCCAATCATAGGATCTCGAGAATAGAGTATAAACTTAATTGAAACTTGTATTGATTACAACTAGTTACGTTCACTCTTTGACACGAAAATGCGATTAAAATAATACTTATAACTAACGAAACGTATTAACTCGAGTATCTCAACCCAGTCCAACTCTTTTCTCTCATAAGTCGCGATAGACTTCATTTAAAAACGTGTGATGTGGTTCAGTTCCTCTTTTTTTTTTTCTTCCAGAGATGATGAAATCCATCATCATCATCATCATCTGCGGAACCACGCGGCACACAAACAGCATCGTCTCTTGCTCCTTCTCCTCCTCCTCCTCATCCTCCTGCTACTTTCACAGCTTCAAGGACAGATAACAGAAGTAAGTGAAGTGATACCTGTTCAAAAAACCAAAGTATATTCCGTCCACTTCTCTGTTTGTCTCCTCGAGTCGCACAATTCTCGGATAATCCTGTCGCTTGGGTGGATCCGCTTAGTATTTGTATTCGCATTGAGGCCCCGCCTACAACGGGAGGAGCCAGTAACCCTGTCTCTCTCTCTCTCTCTCTATGTCTCTCTCTCTGTGTTACAGTGTAAACATCACACTGTGTCCACTCTTTTTATTAGTCCACTCACTTGTCTCAATTTCCTGTCAACATCTACACTCATGCTTTAAAACTCCACTCATTGATGCACGTATAGTATTCAATCCACTACATGCATGCATCATGTTTGCTGTCCTGACTTACTTTTAGCCTCTATGCTCCACAAGACAAGAAAAACAGGACCTACGTGTTATTTTGCTCTGGCCTCTCTGTGTGTTTTAGTCTAAAGCTGAGTTCAGATCACAGTTAGGGCGACAGACGTGGACAAGAATCTCAAGTTTTGATATGAGAAGAAGATGTTTTGTTGGAAATTGTTACGACAGACATATTCATTTTGGTCCTGCAGACAATTTCCTGAAGATAATGTCATCAGTCATACATTATGTTAGCCATCTGTTGATCAGCTGATGTCCTGATGAGGCCTTTAATCTTTTGATTGGTGTTGACATCACTAATCTCATTTAACCCCCACTTCCTACACATTAACTTTAGACCCCTATTTGCACAATTTTTCAACTGTACTGCCTAAACATTCACTAATCAACCTATTCACTCTGATATGATCACATTACACTGCTGATCAATTCTAGGCTGAATTAGACCCTAATTAGAAATGAATTAAATATTTTTAAATCATTGTTTCATACATGAATTAGATGGTTTGCATTAGTATGTGATATATGTACTGTGATAGCGATCTGTCTTTTGAGGTCTACAGACAACCAAGATTTCGCTATCATAATAAATAGAATCTGTGATACAGTGTTTAAACAGCTTCAGACAAGTTTCCATCTTTTCTGTGTTACAGTGTGAAAATAATTGTGTCCTAGGTTGTTTACATTGCTGCAGTTTCATGTCCAAAATTAGAGTTATTTAATTAATTAATTAATATAAAGTAATATTTTTACATGTGAAATATAATCGATATTGAATTATAGATAGGATTTGTGAGCAGCTAACCCTAAGAACAGTGGCCCTCCTGCACTAGCATGTGCTCTGAAGTCTTTCTCAGCTGTTGATCTTCAGTTACAGTATGAGGGACAGTTCTTAGAAACACACCCACAGAATCTAAATGTCATGTACACAGTCGCTGTGGTGTGTTCCAGACACACGATATTTGTGCATGGTACACTATGTCATTTATATTTTCTGTTATGAAAAGGAGAAGGAAGAGGATTCTGTTCTCATCATTCTGTTTATCTCAGTCTGAGACAGCGTAGCTCGGATCACATCATCTTATATCCTGAGTTCCATCTGTTGCGATGATCTGGAGGAGGTGGTCAACAAATTTGTCCTTAGTTTTCAGTAGGTCTGTTAGCTGTGGAAACTGAGTGGATTTACTGGTTTACAGAGTTTCTAATGAAAGAATAAAAAGACAAAAGCATTTCACTTGTTGATTAATAGCTGATTAATCACTGCTCTTAAAATTACAATGATTACCCTTTGTTTTTACTTCCTGCTTCTACAGCTCTCATGTCAACATTTGTAAACCTCTGTATCAAGTGAGAGATAACTTTAGGAGCATGATCCACCACTTTGCTCAGGAGTGACTGGAACTGAAGGTTTGTGGTTGTATTGTTCACATATATCCTGTCATTCACCATCTAAATCCAGTGGTATTCTTGGCTCTGGTCTCATATGACAACAAACCTAAAAACACTTCACACCACAATACACACTTTAATAGATATTAGTCTTCTAAACCTTCCATTTTCTCATAAACATACATGCATTATTACCTGGGAAATTGCTGAAAATGTCAAAATAAGACCTCCCTATCTTGAAACAAAAAGGAAAGTGATAGAATATTCCACCCCAAATTTTATTGAGTTCTTTCCTGGCCCATGTTCGACCAAGTTAACCTGTTGACAGACAAACTAACAAATTGACAGAGTTGTTTTTGTAGATGTTTTCTATACTTGGATTTTAATTAGTTCTGTCCCAGTGGCTGCTGTGAGTCAATTTTTGGATGGTTAGTGCGTCAGAAATTAATCTGATGACCATAAAATACCAAGAACAAAATACGAGTCTTAAACCGGTATTTGGCAGCTGCTTGTCTCTACATGGAGATCACCCTGTTCGTAAAACCATCTCAGCAGGCACGTTCCCACTCATGTGCATAGGCTACTATTTATATTTCTCTGTTAGACAAACTCAAACACACACCATCTGCTTCTGTTTGTATCTCGGCCTGTTGATCGTGTCACGTTGGAACAGAGCTGCAGGCTAATGTAACTGCCTTGATAGATTTACAGCAACATTAGCAAGACGTTTCTGTCAAGATTTGAGTGGGAAACACAGGGAAAGAGAACGAGACAGATGAACGGTCCGATCAAGGAATAAGAATGAGGAGGAGTGGCCAAGAAAGAGGGAGGTGCAGAATTAAAAAGGGGTAAGGACAGACAGACAGAAAGGAGGGAGCAGTAAACATGTTTATGAGTTGAGGGGGAACATTTGGAACAAGGCCTGTGATGGAACATGGCCAATAATTTTAATGGAAACACATTACCAAGCAAAACAAGCTTGTTGTGTCTGTTCCAAACTCTTTTCCCACATGTTGCTCTAAACCTTTTGAGTCACACATTTCTCACAACCTGAACGTGCAGGGGAAACTAATTTTCAAAGTAAAGGTTATGTTGACTGATATGTTTTGCAAACTGGCAGCAGTGTCGAGAACCAGGAATGGAGATCGCAGGTTCATGGAGGACGGTGATGAAATGAAACCCTTCCAGGACTTGTTCTATTGTAGAGCTCATGTGCTTTGTCTTTGCATTTGGCAGGGGAGGAGGGGAGAGTGTCCAGTAAATCTGTAGGCCTACACACACACACACACACA